ATATATGAATTCAGGAAAATAATTTTTTATTTTAAAAAAAAAATATATTTATTTTATTTTGTATTTTACATACACAAAATTTATATATATATATATATATATTATATATATATATATATATAAAATATATATATATATATTTTAATATGCTAAAAATATCTATTTTTATGATTTAAATTCATGGCATGAAACTTCATTTTTAATATTGCCATTTATTTATAATATTTTGAATTTTTATTTTTAGGAATTAAAAATTTACCTTTATAAAAATTTCTTTTTCATGATTTTTTTTTAAAAAAAATTTTTTTTTTTTTTTTAATTAATTTTTTTTTACTTTAATTTTTATTTTTTTAATTTTCAAATATTTTATTTATTAATGATGATTTATATTATATTTAAATTGTAGAAAAAAAATCAAAATTTAAATTTTTATGTAATTAAATTTATTTATTTATGGTTTTGGTAAATTTTTACATTTATTCAATGAATTAAATATGGGTTTTTTATTGTTGATGAAAAAAATTTATGTTTATTAATCCTGAAAACTATTTAGTGGTTCTGTAGTAATAATTATTAAAATTTGTAAGACACTAAAATTTTTTCATATTTATATTTTATCTTATATTCCTCTATATGTTGGCTTTTTTTTTTTTTTTTTTTTTTTTTAAGCATTTCACCCCAAGCAAGGCGGGAAGCCACTAGGACGCAAGGGGTTACAGAAAATTTGGAGCAAGATCAGATAGGAGTGATAGAAGAAAGGATGAGGAGAAGGGTAGTGGATAGATCAAGGCAACTGGAGATGTCGATTGACATTACATTTGAATAGCTGGAGATTATAGCTCTCAGGGGAAACAGGAATAGGGAAGGGAGTTCCACAGGCGAGAGGTGCGAGACATGAAGCTATTGGAGTAGAAGAGACGGCTACATTTAGGAGTTTCGACAGTGAAGGGGTGAGAGCGGGATGCCAGCCTCGTAGGGCGCTTGAACTCATGAAGTCTGGGAACCAGCGAATGCAGCTCCTCGGAGCAATTTCCATGAAAGTATTTGTAGAACAGACAGAGGGAGGCGACGGCGCGTCTGTGAGAAAGAAACTGTAGACGAGATGCCAGATCAGGGCCAATTATATTGCATATCCGCCTCTGGAGCCTATCAAGAACCCCGAGGCAAACAGAAGGGGCTCCAGACCATATATGGCAGCAATACTCCATGCAAGGGCGAATTGTTGATTTGTAGATCTGGAGGATCGATTCAGGGGAGAAAAATTTCCTGGCGCGGCACAGGGAGCCAACTTTCCTCGCGGTGGACGAAGCAATTGACTCAATGTATTTGTTCCATCTCAGGTCAGCAGTCAACGTGAAACCGAGAAGCCGCAGAGAGTTGCTCTCGAGAAGTTGAGCGTCAGACATTCTAATGGAGGGCAGGGAAGGATCTCTGTGGTGATTTATAGAGAGCAGTTTTGTTTTTTGAAGCGTTAAAGTTGACCAGCCAATTCATGCCCCAGTTCACAACCGATTGGAGGTCCTTTTCGAGACGCACGGCCAGGTTAGTTTTGTCAGCGACACTAGATTTGTTTTTGAGGCAGGAATAAATTGTGGTGTCATCCGCGTAGATGCCAACTTGGGAATCTATGGCGTCAGGAAGGTCATTTATGAAAATAAGGAATAGAGTGGGGGCCTAGGATGGAGCCTTGAGGAACACCTGCGTTCGTGGGATAGGAACTGGAGGAGAATCCGTTGAGAACGACCTTCAATTCACGGTTTGACAGGAATGATTGTATTAGGTTAAACAATTGACCCGTAATGCCATAACCCTGGATCTTGCGGAGAAGGCCGGCATGCCAAACCCTATCAAATGCTTTGAGATGTCTAGTGCCACGGCTCGAGCTTCCCCGTTATTTTGAAGAGTTTGGTAGACTGTTTCAGTGATGGCCGTAAGCACATCGACTGTAGATCTGGCAAAGCGGAAACCATATTGCTTGTCTGAGAGCAGATTATTGGATGTGAGGTGGTTAACCACCCCGGTATTGATTAGGGCTTCGAAGACTTTGCCGAAGAGGGGTAGGAGACTGATAGGACGGTAATTAGAAGGGTCAGAGGGGTCGCCAAAGTTCTTAAAGACAGGAACAATCGAAGAGGACTTCCAGCAGTCAGGAAAACAAGATTCCTTGAGGCAGTAGTTATATAGTTTAGAAAGGGCGGGCGCCAGTTCAGGCGCGCATTTCTTTCAGACAATGGCTGGTATCCCATCTCCACCACTAGCCTTGTTGGGATCTAAATTGGAGATAACGCCCAGTACCAATGACGGGGTTATGTTTAACCCACTCAATATGGCCTCAGTTCTAAGAGGGAAGTCGGGTATGGGTACACCGGAAGAGTCGAGCGTCGAGTTGATGAAAATTTCCGAGCAAAGCATTCAGCCTTGTCGGTAGAGGAGGTCAAGACTTCGAACTGGTTGAATAAAGGAGGTATAGAGGGTTTGCAATTATTCAATACACTCTTGCAGAGACGCCAATAATCTTTGGAGCCAAATTTGCGAGATGCAATAAGTTCCTTCATTCGAGCCGCAAATAGTGACTTAGCATCATTTAGGACACGCTTACAATCGTTTCTTTGTCGGGGTCCCTAAAGATTTAACAAAGAAATTGCATATATATATATATATATATATATATATATATATATATATATATATGGCGAGAAAGAAAAAAACATGAACCAATATATTTATATATTACATAAATTTGTCCTTGGCATATTTTCGTCGATTCAGAAATCACTAACGATGGACTATATTCATTCTTCATAATGACATGAAAAAATAACTCACCAGGTATCCACCTTTTTTCACGGATATATATATATATATATATATATATATATATATATATATATATATATATATTTAGGTTAGATCTTACATTTAATTTTAATCAAAATGTTAACAGATACACAAATCTACTTTTTTAATTCTGACCTTATGCACCCACCTTAAATTTCGGAAACGAGGTAACAGTATGTTTTTAAATTCGCCGAAAAATCATTTAATCACCAGTTACTTACTGAAGAAATACAATCATAGTATTGAAACATGAAAACTTTTGTGAAGCGATTTAAAAATATTTTTATTATAATCTCTTACAATAAAAATATAATATATACATACAAATGCACACACACACACACACACACATAGCGTGATGATTGCGTTTAGCATGAAAAAGACTGTCACCTCTCCTGGAATCAATGTCCACAATTTATATTTATATTGACGTTATATGTCTGAAAATAATAACCTTTAACCCAAAAAATAACATACCTAAAACTAAGGTAATATATCATATATATATATATATATATATATATATATATATATATATATATATAAATTCTAATTTCTATATTTATTATAATCGCTTTTTGAGAAACTTTAATTTTGTAAAACTTCCATCCTTCCTTGGCACCTTCCTCTTTTCATATTTTTTCTGACTGAAACATTGAAATGTTTAAATTCTCTATATAGACCGGCTTCTATAGCCTTGAATGGCAACTGGTCTACCGCAGAAAGAAATGGCAACTTGCTGCCAGAAAAAAAAATCTGCCTCGTCATCGAAAGATACACGATCGCCTAGGCGCGTATCACGCGTGGCACATAACTTAGACGAATATATATTATTTATACGTGTTTGAGTAGACATCAATCTTCCATGTGCCGCGTACCTTCATTTGGCTGATCACAACCTCCTGTCTTCTGTAGCTCTTAATAAAGTTTTTTTTTTACATCAGTCCTTCAAGATATTTACATAAGCTAGTTTAAATTTGTGCTGATTTCCTCAGTCCCTTTTTCCTTCAATATATCTTGTGAGTGTCCAACTTTCCAGTCAGTTTTTCCTCATTATGCGTCCTAGAAATTTCAACTGCCTCTTCCTGATATCATGTATAAGTGTCCTTTTTGTTTCCATTACCCTAAAACATAGTTGTTTTCCACATGGCATATTCAGCATCCATTTGTAGAGTCACATGTGAGGCATTTCTTCAGCATTTCGGAGCACCTGATAAAAATTCTTCAGCGGGAGAACACCTGTTTTGTGCAGATTGCATTTGGAATTTCATCTCAAAGTGACGAAGACAAATTTCATTAAGTCAAAGTAGCTTTCCTATAAATAGAAGGAATAGCTGCTCGGACTTAATATAATCTGCGTATAAAGGTTCGATTTTAAATATTATTAAATTTAGTATACTTTATGTTTTTTTTTCCATTATTAATTTTGCCCATTTTACCTTTGTTTAATTTAATCTCAATGGAATTTTAAAATAGGAGCAAAACCAATAACTCGCAAAGTCTCTTACATTTGCTTCTGCCTCAAATGTTACTTCTTACTACTTTGGTTCTACCGCTAATATTTGAAATATGTTCTTTTCCAAATCTAGAATGAATCTGAGGTGGGGACTGAATGACTATAATGATGCAACGCTTTAAAAAATATATGGGAAATTACATGATCGGTCATTGAGAATACAACTGTCACATAGTATACAAGATCACACAGCGGCATCTCACGGTTGACTGAGTAACCTCAAAAGGAGAATATCTGTTCAATGATGTGCAGTAAATGTGCCGGTTATATCAGAGGACATAAAAAATGGTGTCAAGGATATTTATTGGGTCAAATATGTTCTTGAGCTACAAAGAAGCCGGACCAAAACTGACAGAATTTTTAAAATAGGAAGATAAATATTCTCAGCACTATCATAGGTGTGTTAAATAGTTCCTTATTCTCTCTCTCTAGTTCAAGGCTATATATATATATATATATATATATATATGAATGAATATATATATATATATATATATATATATATATATATATATATATATATATATATATATATATATATATATTATATATGCACTTTTCAACATTGCAAATAGCTCAATATCAACAATAGAGCTATATTTTTATTTGTATTATTTTCCGTTTCTTGGATCGTTGAGGAAGAAGTATGCCTTCCATCTATCTATCTATCTATCTATCTATCTCACTAAACTCTCTCTTTGGTCTATCTATCTATCTATATCTATCTATCTATCTATCTATCTATATATATATATATATATATATATATGGTTAGTTAGTTCATGAAAAACTAGTTAATCCGTATGGGTAGACCCAAGTAGGATAAAATCCAGAGAGCTTTTTGTAACATTGTTTCAAACAATCCAAGTAAAGTCTGATGATCCGCAGTCCTTTAAAAGGGCTCTCAAAATAATTTATTACATGGAACCTTAAAGTCTCTTATATATATATATATATATATATATATATATATATATTGAGAGGGAGAGAGAAAGGTTGAATATATATATATATATATATATATATATATATATATATATATATATATACCACCTTAAAAGCAATTCTATCATTTGGCATTTAAGGTAGCTACTGCTGACGGCTTTTGATTCGGCTTTCATCACAATAGGTACGGAGTAGAATCAATAGTCCACAATAAACTACAGACGACCTCGAAATTAATGGCGGCATCTAAGTATTGCATTAATATTTAAGCTTGCCTTTTAAAAGTACAAGGATAATTCTTCTGCCACCACTTAATTTAAAGACAATTTGATGTGTGTAGGTCCTTACTTTCTATACAAACAATTATTTTTATTTCGTGTGTGACTTACGCTGTTTTTCGTAATTAATTTCCATTATTCCCAATTTGTCTCCAAGTTAAAAAATTTTTATCGTTCAAATAAATTCGTCACGAAAACTCACGTAAAAAATCGCCGAAAACAATCGCTGTGTTGCGGGTCCGAAATTTTTTAATTTGCTTACGGGGTCGGCCTCATTCCAAAATGGTATGACATCTTGGGCTATGGCCTCATTCCAAAATGGTATGACATCTTGGGCTATGGCCTCATTCCAAAATGGTATGACATCTTGGGCTACGGCCTCTAGAATTAAAGTTGAAAAAGTCTGACACAGTGACATTCTGATATACGCATTTATTATATCGATATAAAATAGATTTTAATGTACCACTATTTCTTAGCATATTAATATTAGTATATATACAAGTATTTATAGTGCATACGTATTTGAGTAGACAGTCTTCTTCTTCTGTTTGCCGTGTCCATTCAGGACATAGGTAATCACGGCTCTCAACAACCTCATCTCCTTTGAAGTTCTTAGTAATGTTTATATTTTTACTGTTTTCTGCCAGCTATTTACATAAGCGCATTTTGTAGGTTATTCGCTGATTTCATCTGTCCTTCCTTATAATCAGCGAAATTAAGCATCGTCGAATCTGGTCAGCACCAAGACGGCTGATCGCTTGGACATACCACGTGATGTAATCTTGGATGTGCGGTATATGCAATGGATAACGACTCGGAATTTGAAATTGGCTAATACAGTTCGAATTCCAGTCGAGTTCTATTCACTTACGAGCAAATGCTCCCGGGAGACATATGAAGCCACACCCTCTCCCCCTAGCTAGTAGGACTTGTATCTTATAAATTATTATTATCACAAAAAATTCTTACAATCTAAAACTACTTTTTGGTCTTAAATAACCTACAAAGTGTTGATAAACCGTAAAAATCAATCAAAAACAATCTCACCGACTTGCAAACACTATCTCCTGTGAGTGTCAAATTTTCCAAGTCTTCTTTCTTTATTATGCGCGCTAGAAATGTTAATAGGAATATTACGTTGCTCATCACCGTTACTGGCGCGACATATTGGAAAATGAATACAGCGAGATACGAAAGTGTGTACTCGTGATTTGGTGAAAGTTGCTCTTGATCAGATTCGTTCAAAAACACGAATACAAAATTATAGGGAAAGAAGAGTATATTGTAGAGATTGCATGAGTAATCAGGATTACAGGAGTAGTGAGAGTAACAAATACTTTTTTGTTTTTGTTTTCGTTTTAATGGGTGCTGTCTATCGCGTCGCCACAATATAACGTTATCCAGATTGAATTACGGCTATGTACTTAATCGAACAACATTATTTCTTTCCATAGTTTTAAACAATATCGATCCTTCAGCATGTAACCTTTCTATATACAGAGAAAAGGCTAGAGAAAACAATAGTTAAAAAAATTTTCTCCCAACTTTTTTCTGATTGATTGACTCTTTACAGCTTATCAATCATTTTCAGGTTATTCTTATTTCATCTTGCTTTAATCGAGTTCACCCTAAGCGAGGCAATAAAGCCGCTAAGACACAAGGAATTACTGGATGTGGAAGAGTTAGAAAGCAGAATAAATACTAATGAGTGGGAACAAAAGAAGTGTAATCAGGAGGAGAGTAGATAACGATTGACATTGCATTTAAACTGTTGACGATTAAAGTTGACTGAGAAGCATGAAGCCGGAAGAAATTTACACAGGCAAGAAATAAGAGAAAAGAAACTGTTAGCATAGAACTTACGGTTACATATAGCCAGCACAACTGTAAATTGATGAGATCTCGTCGCCCGTCTTGTATTGCGCTTAAATTCATAAAGTCTATGTACAGTAGCGAAGAACTCATAAAACAATTACTGAAAATTACGACAATTACTGTCACGTGTGGAGATATTGTTATTATTGCTGTGTTTACGGATTCAACAATTTTCTTTTGATTTCACGATAATGTTGTGTACGTTTGTTTGGGGGAGTAGTAATTCTGTTAAGAAAGATGAAATAGGGAAAAGGCCTGGGCGTGGATTAATATTTGGTTAATATTCAATGGCGGGACTCTCTAGGATTGAGTTATTTTCTTTTTTTTATGAGTGAGGCATTTTTAGTTAATAGTATGAAAATATCGTTCTCTAAATTCTTCCACTTGCTAAGGAGATTTTGTTTTTGTTATTATTAATTACTTTGTTTAAATAAATTAATTTCGTTTTTTTGTCTCGCAACTATTACAGTTTTCATATTGTCATTTATATATATATATATATATATATATATATATATAAAATATTAGTGGTCAATATATATATTTCTTTCACGATACGGTCAGTTTTCAATCCCCTGTAGTAACAGGGTGTAATCGATTTCTATATTTTCTCAGATTATGTCATTTGCAGTGGCGTGCAGTAATATCAATCTATTTTCGGGGTGTATGTGGAAATTTGTCTGGCCTTGAAAAATATTGCGTCATCCGTGATTCTATCAGATTTTTATCACGCCCAGACACTACTCGACTGTTGATTATTTTATCCTACGGCCATTGTCTGCGATGCACTTTACTCCAAGGAAACGTACGAAAACATTAACGCTGCACAAACCCTCTGGCAAACCCTACCAGTGAGAAAATCAAAGTACTATCGACTGGCTCGGAAACTCTCTTGATTTAAATCCAATCGAGAATCTGTGGTCAATTTGCAAGGAACGACTTCGTGAAATAGACATACGAAGTACTGACATCTGCACTGTTTTATTCGAAAAATACGAAAAAAAAAAGTATATAATAATGGAATTATTCGTTTTGTTTTAATTAATTTGCACAAGGGTGTGTATATATATATATATAGATAGATTATATTAAGTTTGAACTTAAGTTCTGATGTCTCCCATCAACTAAAAAATCGGGCGGGAAATTAATTCACTGTTGTCAGATGAGGTTTCAGGACACTTATTACAATATAATTATGTGGATGTTTCATTATCTAAAGTGTCCAGCACCAGCAGAAATCAGGAAGAATTCAGTTGTAGCCAAATGTTTAATCTACTCTAAAGCAGAGTACAATTTCGTTACAGTTGCAACAAGTGAAAGTAATTGGGGGAGGACTGATGGAAAAATAAGTCAAATTAATGGCAAACCAGAAGAAAGAAAGATAGCGAAAAGACAATGAATTAAATTAAAATAAAAGACAAAAATTACAAACAAAAAAATTACCACGCAAGGAAGTTGCTAATATGGAATGATTTCAATTTTTCTTTTTTTCTTTTTTGTCCCAGATGCTTCTTTGCAACACTGAAACGAATCATTTCCACGAACATATCAATGGTGATCCGGATTTGAGAAACTATCCGAAATTAATTTTCTTGATTATTACGGCTGAAATATATATACAAACTATTGGATGGGAAGAACATTATTACTAAACAATTGTGTCATCAAATAAAATCTTCATTTACTTCAAAGAGAAAAGAGACTGAACAATGTAGCTATATTATGATGTTATATGTTATACACGGCTGTAGTTTTAGTGTGATTTTCTATAAACAATGCAGATTTAAAACATTTTGTCTTATAATTTGTGCCTAGCAGTATTAGGTTGATATTCCAAGCGTAGCTTAGATGTAGCAAAAGGCCGGAAGTAGGGTTCACCCAATCAGAATCGAACTCACTATTTAGTCGTAATTGTTCTAGTGAGACAAGTTTGCTAACCATTACACCGCCTCGATGTGCCGGCCCAGCAGTATTATGGTGTTACATACACTTTTATTTAATTTTTTTTTAATTAATTATGATGTAACAAATCTTAGTCATTCTGCAGAATATTTTTGTAGTCTTTTACAATTATCTTGCGCAGTTTTCACTTAGAGAATACAGTAAAAAAAAATTGCATATTTTGCTTCTGGTGATTCGTAATTTGAATTCTGGTTTGAATATATTTTCTTTTTACTGTATCGAAAAATTACCAACTTTATTTAGATTTATTCTTAGAATATTAAAATTTTAAAGTAAGTTTGTAAGATAAAACCTGTGGAAATTACGTATTTCTGTAGGTTTTTTCCAGAGGCCCATTAAAAACTAAATGCTCAAAAATTGGTGAAAGCTATGAATCCAATTTTTGGTGTCAGTATATATCGCATCAACTCTCATATTTCACAGAGTGCCATGTTGTTTTCCCAAAGAAAGTGAAAAATCAACCTGCCCTATTTTCTATGATAACAAGCTCGGATCTCATCTACACTCAATGCAGCCTGTACCGGAAGAATATTCAGCAAGTCAGATCAGCCTTTCCGTGCGACCACAAGCTCGAGTACTTCAAACCCTAACGCCACATCATGGACTGAATCAGCGAAAGTCGAAGGACAGTCGTAGTATCGGGAGAAAAGCATGCCGAGTCCATGGGCTGGCATTTCGCCACGAGCGGATTAGCCTTTCTAAGAAAT